ATAATTAAATTATTACTATTCAAGTACATTTATTTCAGATCTCAGAGCAGAGATATTTATACATCTTTAAGATTTTATAAATTTTTATCTAAACTCATTTATTACTCTAGATTATAATTACAAATATTAAGACAAGAAATTAATAAATAAATAAATAAAATAAAGAGATAAAATATATATGGCAGGTTAAAAGATAATATAAATGATAAGATAAAATAAAAAGATAAGATATATGTTCTAAAAAGAAAAGATAATTAATAAAAATAAATTAAATTCATTATTAAACTATTTCTAAAGTATTTTTGAATTATTATTAAACTATTTATGAACTATTATTGATTTTGGAACTAATTATTCATTTATAATCTTGAAGTATTTCTAAAATATTACAAAAATATTGTAAAAATATTGCTAGATCATAATTAAATCTATAACTGATATATTAATTATATTATTCAAAATTACATGTTCTTTAAAGATCTATTAATTGATTGAATTTTCCAAGTTTGAAAAATTATGAAATTAAAGAAATTTATATTACTATGACAATAATGTAAAATAAAGATCTAAACTAAAAGAAATCTAAAGAGAAATAATCAAATCAAAATTATTATAATTTTTTTAATAAGATACTTTAGTAAGTTTTAACTTTTAACAAAATACTTTCTTAATAAAGCAAGAATAAAGATAATTAAAGATAATATATATATAAAATATATATATTTATTATGAAAATAATACTAGTTAACACTCTTAACTTAGTAATCAACTATTTCTATTAAATTAAATTATTTTTCTTAATTACTTCTTGATTTTTTATATAATATTTTCAAATTATACTAAATTATAAATTAATTTTATCATAATATTTTATTTAATTTACTTAAGTACAAGTAGAATCTTGAAAGAATTATTATAAAAAACTTTTTTAAATTAATTAAAAAATCAAAATACTAAGAAAACTATAATTAAAAAAAAGAAAATTAATAATATCTAATAAAAAAATTAATAATTTATTAAATTATAAATTTAGTATAACATATATATCTAAATTATATTTAAAATTAATTAATAATTAGAACTAAATATAATTAAGAAGATAAATTAAAAATAGAATTATAAATTAAAATAAATTAAATATTAATAATATATTATAATCTCAATTTAATAATAATTACTAATTATAACTGTATTATATTACTATATCTTGTGTAATAGTTAATTAATTATAATATTCTAATATTTATTTTATAAATAACTTTAAGATTTAAAAACTTTTAATAATAAAAAGTAAAAATTTATCACTTTTATCAATATTATAATAAAATATAATAGATAAATATTTCTTATTCTTATTTTTCTTTTAATTTGATTTGTTATCAGAATTATATCAGATTCAAGTCTATATTATATATTATTAACTTTATTAATAATATATTTAAATAATATTACTTATTAGAAAAATAATCTTATTTTATTTATATTATATATATATTCTAATTTATAAAAACTGATAATTACTTTTGATTAAAAAGTTTATTTTTAATTATATTAATATAAGCTAATTTACTTTCTCTATATAATTAATATCTTTTCAGATTATTTCTATAATATATCAATATAAAAATTTAAATAATTAAATATAATAAATAAATATAAATTATATACTAATACCTATCTTTAAAGCTTTAAAGCTATCCAGAAGAAAATATGAATGTATTTTAGAAATATTAAGCAATTTTATAAATAATTTAGTTTTTTCAATTATAATTATATCTATAAGAAATATGATCTTAAAAGTGTAAATATCATTTATAAAGTGTAAGTTCAAGTTTAGAATATTTTATATTGTAAGATTTTTTTATAATGGATTTTATAATAAGCTAGTTTCATTATGTAAATACTCAGATAAGTGCTTTAATATTCTAGAAATAGTTTGATCAACTTTTATATCAAGTTCTTATTTATATCATTTTATTAATTCTTTTTGAATTATTCTTTGATTATTTTGCTTTTTTAAATAGATTTGATAATATTGTTAATTGCTTAATATAGTATTCTTCATTGTAAAATGATAGAAATATTAACAATAATAATACATAATAAAAATTTCGAGTAATCTGATCATGTGATAACGTGTATTTGCATATTCTGTCTATTTGCATAAAAATCTATCGATCCCAACAGTGTACTGAACAAAACTACCGAATGATAATTGATACCGGCTCCATGATGACGATAATTCCATACTTTGTAAGACAACAATTGTATAGTCTCAAAGATGGTTGGCAGAGAATTTCTTTTTACCCTGATGGATATGGCGATACAGCGAAAATTACTCAAGCTTCAAGGGAGTGGCTTATATGTTTGGGTGAAGGACCAATTGGTCCAACTGGGTTAGAACAAGAGAATTTTATTCATGGCAAAACAATCTCCTAATGTCGATTGTGGTCTAATTGGCTACGACGTTCTTAACAATATTCCTCATTACAAATCCTGTAGACAACGTATTTCTTAAGAACGATATTTTCGACCAAATGCCACAATTACAAGGTACGGAATGAATGTCTTTTTTTCTCCAAATTTAATCAGCAAAAAAATTCGAATAAGGAGTCTGGAATTTACATGAATAATGACGCAATATATTGAAATTAAATAAAATTTCGTGCTCTAAACAGCCTATGGTGCGCTGTATGTGTATCGGGAAAAAAAATGTGTACATAATGATCATAAAGCATTTAAAGTTTTGAGTTTATTCAATGAAACCCAATTCTCGAAGATGTTCTGGAATAACTATATACCAGATATATCTTAAAACGATCCAATTTTCTTCACACAATTCTTTCTTGAGTCGATCCCGTGCCTGCTGTTTGATAAAATTATTGGGACCTCTTTTATGAAATGTTTTTCATGTTGTTCCCCTTGTACTTCGATTGCGAAACCATAATTGTAATATGGAATAGTTGCAGCCCGGTTGGATATTCAGATGTTTTTAAAAAATCTGGTTTACGATTCTCAGATGGTTGTCCAAGATACTTGGCTATAATTTCACGGCACAATTTCTCGCGTTTGTATTTAGAACAATATGGACACCATGTTCCATTTTTTTATATTATTAAATCGAGCACTCCGCTGTGACCTTTATTACATTGCCATTATAATGGAATTTCACAATTGATATAGTTTGTGGAAAGGCATTTACCATTTTTATTATACTGCTTGGCATATTCGAGAGTGTAAGGTTTTCTATGAGGACATGCTGGGCACCATGATCCACTATTTTTAAACTTAGAAAATGAAGCAAGCCATTCGTGACCTTTAGCACAACGCCATTGCAGTTTCATGTTATTTTTAATATATTTGTCAGAAAGGTAATATCCATTTCTGCTTTGAGCCACTTGTCTAGCATCTTCAATTGTGCAACGTCCATTTCCCGCGCAATACGGACACCAATGTCCATCTTTAATGTGATAAAATTTAGCTATCCATTCATGGTTTTTGGCACATCTCCATTGTAATGGCATCTTGGAATTAATGACGTTATTGGAAAGACACGACTTTTAGCAATTCTGTATGCATCATTAATATAATATTTAACTTGAAATGGTATACCTACACAATATGGGCACCATGTCCCAGAATATTTAATATTCCTAAACGGAGTTTTTCCAGATATGTCCCTGATGGCATCTCCACAACATTGGAATCTTATTATTATTAATATACGCTGTTGAAAGACATTTACCGTGTTTAGATACTGCAATTTGCTTAGCATCTTCGAGAGTAAGTTTATATGACCGGCACAATGTGGACATTATGATCTGTCATATTTAACTTTTTTCGATAAAGCAGTCCATGTATGATTTTTAGAACAACGCCATTTTTATATTCGGTTGAAATGCATATTCCACCACGGGATTCAGCAATACTATAAGCATCTTCTAACGATATTTTTTTCATTGAGACTAGATTTCTTTAACTTTTATCTTAAATTTATTATATTTAATTTATATACTGCCCTGAAGGATTAACGGCACAATAGCTTGCATTACATTATGCCTGTTTACAGAATATTCTCAAATTAATATTGTATAGGCACTTAGACACAAAGTGTCCTGCTTTCGCAGACATCCGTAAATGATTTATTACCTGTTATTAATATAACAACATATAACTTATCTGTTTATTTGATTTATAATAACTTATTCATATATATCTATTTAGCACAAATGTGTTAGCTCACGCTAAATTGCTGAAAACAGTCACATAGTGGCTATCTTTTACTTGATTTTTTGTTCTTAATTTTTGCAAACTAATAAATAAATGTTTCATCCCGACTATAATCCAATTATAGATAAACTCCCGAAAAGTTTAGTTCATTGTTACATTCTCGCAACCAATCCCCCCTAGAGCGAATTTCTGAAGATTAAATCGGAAGCGCAAAAAACCAATTCAAAATAAAGATATGGCTGATCATAGAACTCAAGATATTCGCACCTGTAATCAGGCACGTAAGTGCCCTTTGCTTCGCATGTGAGAAGGAAATCAATCATAGGGTTTAAAAAGAGCTTGATATTTTTGCCAACGGTTACTTGAATTTAATGAAGAAACTTTCGGCTCTTTTATACAAAAGATAGCTAAAGAGCAAGGGGAGCGGGTTGAAAATGCTAAGAAATTATGACGTGAGGTTGAAGAGAAAAAGAAAGAATTACAGGACAGAAAAATATCTCGAATACCTGAAATCTCGCTCTATTTATTAAGAGAATTCACTAAAGTCGGTTAATATCATGTGATTTTAGATTAAATCCGAATCCAGATCATGTGAGGAATCACGTGACAAGAAATAATTGGCTGAATAATTTTGATCAATAGACAATCATAATAATTAAGAATAAAGCTCAAAAATAATTATTAATTTATAATAAATATCAAAAAATAATATTTATTTAATTTTTTATAAAAAATAATAAATATGGATTAGTATAAAAAGATTTGTATCTCAATATAAAAATTAATAATTACTTCTAATAAAAATCATTCAAATTTTAACCAATCTTTATAATTTTTTTATA